CGGCAAGGGAACGACAAAGTAACTGCAGAATTCCTCAGACATGCTAGAAGCTTTTGCAAATAGTGTGATTTTTAGCTCAATCTCATGACTTTCTTTATTTTGTGCTTTTTATTTTGTTTTTCCTTTTGCTTTACGGGTTGGGAATGTGAAATGAAGCAGCACTCGTAAATAACATTTAAAAAGGAGAAATAGATTTAAGATTACTGTCTTGAAGTGCCTAACTGGGTTGTTGGGCAGTCTTATTCCAGCTTTGTCATCTTTCTTTCATACTGTGCCTTTTCCAAAAGCTCAGTCACAATATGGTTATTTTTTTTCTCTTTGTTCTTCCCACATTGGCAACTAGTGCCAAGTGAGGTGTTTGGATTGGAACATACAGGCTGGGTCTCTGTAGACATTTAGCAGAGTTCAGATCATCTAAAATGGAAGACTCATCCAGTGTCATTCTTGTGTTTTAGACAAAATCATCCAGGAAGGTCTCATAACATCACTAACACAAAAGGATCTGAAAGTAGGCCCTGAGAACATGTACTACTTGACCAGCCGCTGAAGTACAGCCATCTCCTGAGTGGAAAAAATCAGCTGTTTAGTCATGTACAGCAGTACGAGCAAAACAGTAGACTCAGAGATGAATAGTACCATCTGAAAATTCACATCTATGCAAAAATCTTCCATTGTTAGGGAAGCTTACTTAGTAGCTATACCTTTGATCCATTCCTACTGGTTTAAGTGCTTCTATCTGCCAATGAGAGTCTGTTTTAAACACGAGTGGACAGGCTACAATAGGTTATGAAGGTTATTATGTTTTCTTCTGTCATTTGAACAGGTTCGGATCATTTTCTGTTTGGCCATGGCCAAAATATAGAGATTAAAAGATAGTACTTGGAATTGCATTAACATGTTCAATAGTGTTAAAAATGATTACAAAACCCACCAGTTAAATTATATTTTTTTCTGTAATAAAAATCAGATGTCGGTTAAATACATAGTGATTTTGCCTCGATTTCTTATGGATAATACTAAAATCTCAAAAGAATTGGAACAGGTCAGGAATAAATACAATTTAATTTTAAACCTGTTTTTCTGAAGTACTGCATGGGGCTGGACTGATCCTGTAGGACTGGCATGCCCATCTTCTCATCCAGAGAGGATTCTAAGGCACAGAGAGGTTTTCAGTTTGGAAGGAACTGCCACAATTAGCTGTTCTGACTTGCGTTTGTGCAGGCTGTGTGCATCCTTCAAGTAATTGCCCCCTCAGTTTCAGTAACTGTGGTTGAACTAGGCCAGATCTTCCAGGTAAAAGATACCACTTTCTACTTACGTATGAGAAAAAGGTGACTTGTTCAAGATCATTAATGTTATCTGGTAAGACTGGGCTTCAGCTTCCTAGACTACAGACAATCATCTCAGGTGCGTTACTTCCCTACAACTGCATTTGGTTTAGGAAGAATAGAGAAATGTATGGTACCGCTTTACCTTTTTATTACATATAAATACATTTATGCTCTTTGTCTTACCTGTTGGTAGCTTCTACCCTCAGAGCATGGCCAAATAGTTGTATCACAACTGAGGAGGTTGGGGGGCTCTTAAAGTGCATCAGCTGCTGATGAAATAAAAACTCAGTTGGCAGAATATTCCCTTGAGAAGGTCCTGTCCCTCTTTCTCCATGCCCAGCTGCTCCTTCTTCCTTTCGCCAGGAGCTTCTGACCCCACCAGTTGGGCTGAATGCCAAATAAATTGTGGCTGGTCTCTAAGTAAGGAGAAGTAAATTTCTGTCAAGGATATAGAATGAGAATCCTTATTTGTTTCAAGTCAAGTACTGGACATGCTTCCAATGCAAAAGTAATGACCCGAATTTAAACCAAGAGGAAATGGGAAAGGATATGTTGGACTTGGAGGCAGACAGCTGGAGAAGAAATACAGTAGTGAAAGCAGTTATGAAACAAAAACTGAAGCAACTAACAATCACTTCTCCAAATGTGGAAGCCTTCAGGATACAAGTCCACTCATTACAAATCTAGCAAATATGCCTGTACAGCTTTATCTCTGTGCTGGCAGGAAATAGGAAAATAGATCATCAAGAAACTTACTATTCTTCTGGACTTCCTAATGTATCAGCAGTTTAAACATTGGTATGTTGACCACTCAGTTCTGGGAAAGCTGTTTGGCTATTCTCCTACAGACCAGAAATAACTTGAAGCTTTCTTAGTTCATTGTCCATCTGTCCACAATGTCTTGTGCTATACTGTCTCTGAGGATTTGCTGTAAAAAATGGATGCTTTTTGCTGTAAGATACAAGACTGTCATATTTAGGAGACCAGAGGATTTATAAATAAAAAAATCCCTACAAATACATGTTTGTCTTAAGATAACACAAAGTTTAAGTGGGCTCTTGAAGGCTGAGTTCCTGGAACATCATTCTTGCTAGGAAAACCAATCAATAATAATTATAGCTCTGCATATCAATCTGTAATCTCTCCTGCAATTTCTTTATGTAGGTAACTGTAGTAAACAAGAAGAACAAAGCTCTTTATATCTGCTGAGTAAGATAAAACTGCCAATTGTAAAGCAAAGCAATTTTATTATTGTTTAGCCTATGTGTTAAGTTTGAAAAGGTACATGCTGGACTAAAATGAGCTACTGCTAAATGATTAGGATGGTTTGAGCTAATCTCCATGGGTTTTTTTTTACCTAAACAAAACGCATGCAACTAATATAGTGTATTCCATAATTTTCAATAGTCATATTATGCTCAGATAAAAGAAATTTTAAAGGTGAAACCAAATCAAAATACATAATACCTGCTCTTAGGTTTAGTTCATGTAATTTAGGGGTATTATATCAGTAACTTAAAAAAAAATAGAAAAAATAACACTTCTCTCTAAGGGAGATGATCAGCTGTAAGGAAAAGTTATTTCCTTGTAACTGCATTCTGGGCCTTATATTGATTTGCTTTGCACAGCATCCAACTACAGTATTTAATAGATAATGCAATTACAAAATTGCATATACTGATAAATGGAAAATGGGATCACCTGACTACCTAAAAATCAGTATTCAAACACAGAAGGACTGATAGGGTAGAAGCTGGAAAAAAAACCCAAACCCTCAGGAGTTTTTCACAAGATGTTTCTTTAGCTTAATAATTACTTATGAATATGTTATATTCTCCTGTGTAATCAAGAATTAGCCTATCAGCTTGGTTATTTGTAATAGTAAGTAATACCCTCTAGTGGTATACATAGGAAAAGAAGCCAGACAAAGAAGAATTACATTTTTTTTATCATGAAAGAGGCTAAATAACATTTTCACTTGTATAACACAGGTTATCACTGGTCAGTCGAGAAGTGCTGCTTAAAATGGAAAATGCACCACAAGCATTAGACTTGAGTTAGATGTCTGGGTTTAGTTAGAACACCCGGGTCTAGAATATGACCTGGACCACTATAGGTTTTGAATTGCTTGTTGTTTGCAGACAAAACAAATTGCCACTGCAACACTTGCAGTCTGGAAGGAGTGGTTCTAGTGATGTCCAGGCTAGAGATCTGTCCTTAATCTGAGGGCTACATGTAATTTCTACACGTTAAAAGTAACTCTGTAGGTGAAATAGGAATACTCGTCAGTCTGCAATATTGCAGTGTAATAAAGTCCGTATTTCTAGACTCCATCTGCAGTTCAGAGTTCATGATAAAAAAAAGATGTTCTGAAGAAGCTCATATACAGGGTTTCCTGCAGTTACTAGGTCTTTTGTTTTATTTGCCAGTTGGCAAAGGTTCAGAGATTGAGGTGAAAACTGGAGGAAAAAATCCAACAAACGCCCCTCTTACCAAGAAAAAGCTGTTAAGCTTATTAAAAAAGTGTGTAAATACTCTTGAATCTTTTCCAGAAAGCCAGTCTACTAATGTAGTCATCTAGGTCCATTTTGAAATTATCTTTGTTTCCATAAACAAAATATCCCTAACTAATGGTAATATCCAGGAAATTGTTCCATTTCTCTAAAGTCAAGGTGCACAGTGTTTGTCATGATGTCGTGCTACTTGGCTAGTATCCTATCATTCTGATTGTCACTTGGGTTTTGCCCTTCTCCTGCAACCCCACTATTGCTACAAGATTTAAGAGCTTTTGGTAGTTTGTTATGATTTTCTGGTGGCACTGATTACTTCCCACCTCTCCAAGAGAAAGGATCCCATACTATTCTAGTATAACAGTGGTTCAGACTTTAAATCAGCTTCTAAACTAATGTTAAGCAAGATGGTTGTCAGAAGCAAATTATTTTAAAGCCTCATGAAGGAAGGATTTACTACGCCTTATCTTTCTGAGCTGTAGTAATTCTGTATTATGTTCCTGGCATTCGTTCAGCTGCTGCAGCATATTGGACCAGTGTAATCTTCTGTACCTGCAGTACTGAAGATTATTTCTTATTATAAGATTATAATCCTTATTACTTTTTTTCTTATGCTGTGGTAAACCAGCCTCTGCTCTCTTTATGCTTTTCTAAAGCATATAATAAAAGAATGAAAAAAATGGCCCATCTCCCAGGCTGGTGTAACTTCACTGATACTAATGTAGTATACTATAGGATCTAATTAAACTCATTAACTTTCAGGCTCCACATCACAGTTAATAAAACTGAGACAGTAGTTAAAAAGAACAAAAGTTCTGACAAGGATTTATTAATTTACGCTTATGAACAAATGTATCTGACAGTTGAATGATGAGATTGCCATACTCTGTACAGAGAGTCTTATCTAGAAATCTTCTTTCCCCTGTGTTGACAGACCCTGCAGTGCAGAAGTTCAGGAGTGGGTGTCAGTTCACAGACGCTAACCCAGTTACAAAGATGGCTGCATGCCCAGATGAGATGAAGGTTCAGACTTTCTCGCTACTGTTCCTGTTTCTGTATGTTCAATCTTGCTGAAAAACCAATCAAGCTGTCTGACACCTGGCACAGGAGGGAGACTCTAGGTGTTACCTTCCTGTGCTAAGCTGGCTAGGAAGTTTTATTGCCGAAAGAAAAAAAAAATCTCAAAAAGCTATTGCAAGCTAAAAGCTGGAAGGAAAGAAGCTAGTCAAGCTGAGCCTTCTGTGCCTTTTTTTCTGTCCATGCTGAAGGTTGAGAAAAGTCTCCTTCAAAGGAAAAGAACCTCTATACTTTAATTGGGGGAAAATGGAAGTTCTGTGGTTACTTTAAAAATGTTGCTTTCTGGCAGGTGGGCAGATACTGACTGTAAGTGCCATTTTGTGCAGAACACGTGCAGATGATCAGATATTGAGTGTGAATGGCATTTTGTGCAGAACGCTTATTTTTCAAACCTTTAAATATTGATTTATGTATATAAGAAAGACATATAAAATCTCTAAATATTTTCTCCAAGCCTTAATTTCCTCACCCGCTGGCAAAAAAAATAAATATTAAAGTTTTCTAATCTTCACTTGAACTGTCAAATTCCTCCCAGTCTGATACACTCATAACTTCCGATGGAAAGTCAAGGTGATACTTCACGCGGTCTGTGTGCCATTCTGAGAACCATTTCTCTGTTTCCATTAAAATAGCCCTGGGCAAAGTGAGGACGCAGGCAGCCATCCCAGAAATATCATCCTCCAGCTGGGGTCCTTCCTCCCAACAGTCTCTCTCTGCATCGTAAATGTGGACATAGTCCATGCGGATTCCTCTGTTGTGGGATCTGCCTCCCAAGACATAGATCCTGTTGTCCAAGACCGCAATACCTGGCTCTCCATGTCCTGCAGGAAGTGGACATACATTTGTCCACTGATCAGTGCTTGGCCTATAGCAGGCAACCTGTAAAAAAAAGAAAGAGATTAGCCAAAATCAAACTTGTATCTTGAGTGACAGAGCCTGGCCATATGGCAAACTATTTAGGAAGCCATGCAATATCATCAGTCTTTTGACAGGGTGTTGATAATGGAGAGAGCACAGCACTACGCAGTAGAAATACAGTACTTGGCAGAAAACTGTGCATAGTTGCCATATAGCTTTGAATCACAACTTCTGACCCTGCTGCTGGGGTAACAGCTGTATGTAATTCAAAAAATGTATACAAAAGTGCAGGAGATGGGGACACATGTTAATATAGGTTCAGACATAATGCATCTGTTTGCATTAGGAAAAAATGTGCTGGAACATAGAAATATGACAAATCTGCTAAGCTGTCTCTGCACCATATGTTGGGAAGTTTTAGATTTCATTGGGTACCTACTTGGCTAACTGCTTTTATTTGTAAGCACCTTCTTATCATTCAGATATGCTTTTCAACTAAATTTAATTCATTGGCTTTATAAGAGCAGTTACTTTTGGTGTCTTGTTTTCACATCTCTAGCAGTTCTACAAGCTGGAATAAGACCCAAGAGAATTCTCCCCAGCCATCACTTATCATCAGGTACTTTACATTTAATTGCATTATACAACTGCCATCCAACATATCCTTAACAACTGTCCTGAAATTACACACTGGTAATTCAAAAATCCTCAACTTAGAAAAAACTTCACATGAGAAGACAATGTAAATTTAGTTGATGTGCTACTTATTGGGTATGTGCAAGCCAATTAATGTTATCCATCAAAGATGTTTTTAAATTAATAGGAATTCCAAGTGCTAGAGCTTTAATGCTCCGTGGATTAGACAATGCATTCAAGACAGACAGCAGTAAATAAATCATTGCAAGTTCTGCAGTTGAGTGGGGGAGAGCTGGTGCAGTAGCTGTTGCTGAGCAGTTTTATTTGCACACTTAGTAGGAGAAAGACATTACATCAGAGTGCAAGCATCCATAAGAAAGAAACCCTTCCAAGAAAGACACAGGTATGACATCCTCTCACCTGGTGAACATCCCTTCTGTAGCCAGAATCATTGTTGCTTCCTCCAATTACATAGAGCTTTCCTAGCAGTGCAGCCATCCCATGCCAAGCACGTCTCACTGGACCATCTGCTAAAACGTCCCAGCGGTCAGTCTTTGGGTCATAACATTGTAGTTCTTTCAAATAGTCTTCTCCTCTCCTCCCACAGGTAATATACATCTTCCCATCCAGTGCTGCTCCAGCATGTGCATATACCTGTATCACCAGACAGGAAAGCAAGAGGTTGAGGTCTGGATTTATGTATTTCTACCAGTTTCAAAGTATGGAATAGACATTAAGGGAGTGACATTCTTCATGAGTTATGCAGATATCAGTATCTGGAAAGATGTTCTTATACACAATTACTTTCTAGGTGATTATGCTATAAGTGTGACTCTCTGAATGAAATACACTGGAATTTCTAAAACTTCCAGAACTGCAGTGCGTTCTCATTTTTTATTTTTCCTTCCATTAAAGGAAAGATGATCATTCTTTCTATTCAGAAGAGTAGAATTTTTTATTTTTCCTTCCATTAAAGAAAAGAAGATCATACTATTACTTTTCTCCCTAGTCTACTTGGAAGGAATTCTGTTGGAGATTTTTCTTATACAAGCAGTGTTATCAAGAATGGAATATATTCTACTTAGTAGCACTCAATGGGATCTTAAAGCTTTTTATGTTCTTGGCATTACCACACATTTATTATTTATGACCTCATGCAAGCTGTTTATCCTCTTCTGCCTCTGCATAACTTTTGTAAAATGGCAGTAATATTTATATTTTTAAGGTGTTCTGAGATTCTCAATTGAGAGGCATTATGAAATCACAAATATTATTTTGTGCTGGTCACTTGACTCAAAGCTTGTAAAAGGTCTAGTAGAAATCAGCAGAGTTTCTTGAACCATTACTTAGGATTTTAGTTTTCTTCCCTAACCAAGATTAATCAAGCAGTTGTTTGTATTTATCTTCCACCTTTGCAACATTTTTAACCTTAAAATGGAAACTCTTGACTTTTTTTAGCAGTATTAGAACTTAGAACAAACTTTTTCACTTTCCATAACCCCAATTCCCATGTCAGTACACCATTTTCTGTTTCCTGGGGTCATGACTGCTAGTTTGGCAATTGCTCTTTCTAGAAGGATAAATGGTACTGATGACAAAAGATACCTATTCACCCTTGTGTTTCAAATGAGTAATGGTCTTATGTTAGCTGAGATGTGATTCTGCCTAACATAAGCCATCGTCACCAGAATTTGTTACCCAATCTCTGTTCTGTGTTCAGGAACTAAGTAGTCTGTAGAAACTGAGGTACCTTCTTACTGGGACATTATCTCTTCTGATCAGGAGTAAAGCATGTTGTCAGGACTGTGAGAAGCTTGTGCTACTGTGCCTCATAGTTTACCTGTCTAGGAGGAATGGGAACTTCCCTGAGGTTACGTATTTAATTTCAAATGGTTTTAAAGATTAACACAATAAAGGGCAAAACAACAAGGAAAAATAAGCATTTAACCTCAAAACAGAATTTACATATATTATTATTATTATTCTCCTTTCCTGATATTCATTTATATACACAGGCTCCTGTTTCCCATCTGAGCATCAGAACATTTACAGCTACATATGAGAAAAGCATACACAAAGATGAAATCAGGAACGGGGGAACAAACAGTAGTAGTGCGTGTGGCTAATGCACTCCTTACCTCCTTCTTCAGAGGTGTCACATATTCCCAAGTGTTGCTTTTAGGGTCATACCTCTCCACTTCTCTCAGGTCTTCATGGTAATCTCGGCCTGCGACGGCATATATATAGTTGTCCACAACACAAACACTCAGGTCAGCATGCTCTTGCTGTAGGGACTGGATCTGGAACCATTTGTTGTGTCGTGGGTCATACCTTGTAAAAGAATGGGATCAAAGGAAGTTATTCATACAGCCACAGAATCATTGCTGGAATACCAGACAGCACCACAGATGTGGGTTACTGTACCGTCTTCGGCTGAAATTGAGCTCAGCTGCAAGTGGAGTGAAATTCTGCCTTGTCAGCATTTTATTATTAGCAAAGTTGTTTAATTCTATTTTTAGAAGATGTATTCTAGCTGATATAATCATGCTATAAAAGCCTAGGTTTTCCATTATATGCTGTCAGGTTATATATCAAAATCCCTGCTTGCACAAAGCCATTGTACAAGGTAAAACAGTCTAAAAATAGCACAGAGCCTGAATCTAGATCTTCAAAAAGCCAAGAAGAGCATAAATATGTGGTGGGTTCTTTGATTCTTTTCCTCAAGTATCTGCTGCTCAAAGTGAACCTCATGATTAATTTTCAGATCAAAATATCTATCTGATCTGGAAATTTTAGTTACAGAGAAAACTGGTTGTGAAGTGAAACTATGCATGCCATAAAATAGGGGCAACTCAGCTAAAACTAGTAAAAATGACCACATTATAAAGACAAAAGGGTTTCTATCTGGTTTTGCAGTGTAACGGGCATTTAGATCTAAAACTGATCCTTCCTCCTGCTCTTTTCCCTGGCACAGAAGCACTTAAGAGAAGCCTGGAATGCTGCTGTGGTGCACACAAATTCTTGATAATCCATCAGTAACACCATTATTTAAAAATCCTTTTTGGTAGTTAAACCCATTTGGATTGGGACCAAAACTATACACAGAGGACTGCTAGAAAATCCTAGTTCAAGACCACCTAGGCAGTCCAGGATTCTAGGGAACCCTAGTTCATTACTGCTTCCCACACCTTTAATACTTCCCCCCTCCAACAAGACAGAAAGTAGCACGTGTAATACTCTTGAATGAGTAGCTGTTTCTACCCTAGCAGGCTTGGCTTTGTCCCAAAGCACTGCTGGAAGCTCCCTGTTACTATGAGGCTCATTTCTTTATTTCTTGTGTTTTCTTTCAGTGAGGCCCCTGCTCAGTTCCTAATCTTTTGGCTAGCAATTGTACAGACTGCACTACTGGCTAACTGCCTCAGAGATGGGCAACAGGGTGGTAATAAAAATAATAGCAGGATTATCCTTATCTTACCTCCAACACCTTGACTCTGCTCGAAAACCACTTACATTGTTGTCTCCGCCAATTAAATATACAAAATTATTAAGAACAGCAATCCCCTGGTTGGACATTCTGGGGGCTAGTGCAGCTGTAAAGTGCCTCCACTCTCCCAACAAGGGATTCAGATACTTGGCTTGATCACTGAGGACAATGGATGGAGTAGAATGCATCCCTCCAAATCCCACTACACAGTGGAACTCTGATCTCAGCTGTGTCTGGGAGCTCTGAAGCATTGGCTGAAGGCATTCATTCTTGTGGTACATTAATGCATCTGCGACTGTATCTTTTAAAGGACATGGACTTAATTTGTCATGAAGCCTTTGCAGGATCTGGGGTTCCATCAGAGGAAAACGAACTGTCTCAAGTAGCTTAAGGGGCTCCATCAGGGAGACCTGATCTGTCTCCAGTTGCTCTGGAGAATAATGATAAAAAAGTGCTCCATCATAAACTTCAAATTCATAGTTAACCTCCAAACGGTTGCTGCTGAGAAGGGAGTAGACCTTCTGCAAAGGTAGCTGTCGGTACACTTGTGTCCTTGAGAAAGCTGCAAAGTTCTTCAAAATGTAGGAGTCCAGCTGATCACTCAAATGTCTCAAGTCATAGTGGTCAGCTAGTTTGTATACGTCGAGGATGTTCTCTTCATCTACCCAGGACATGAGAAAATCACAACAGAACTTAATGACTTCTGGAATCTGCAAGAGAGAGATATTTTTCATTTCAGACACAACTCGCCTCACACTCAAGAGACAGATGACAGAAGCCTGGCATGACTGTAAGAAAGTTGTCCACAAGATGACTGCTCTCCTCACAGTCTGATCACCATGTTCACTTGCACCCAATTCACCTCTCTCCAGAGAAAAAGAACTCAACATGGGTATGTAGATTAATATAATACAGATCTTGTAGTGACACTGTACTGCAAGCCTATGAGCTTGGCTTCGGGTGCAGCAGCAATGTGTTTTCCAAGACACATGGGACACAGGACAGCCAGGCTGCCTGGTTTGTTTAGGTGGCACCAAGCTGCAGGCTGCCTGGGAGGCAGTCATGAAAACGGAAGGCACAGAGGACATGGTGAAAGTCAGGTTTACAGCGGCTCCGTAATTGTTCTTTCAGAGTACTATAGACATACTGTATCAAAGACCATATCTGTAACAAATACAGCTGCAGCACTCGAGCACAGGAAGCTATTTGAAAGGAAAATTAATATTTAGTTCTGTCTTCTGAATACAGTTTGAAGTTGTATCTGGCAGGAGGGACTACTGGCAAATAAAGAACTAACTGCTGTCCAAGAGCCCCTCTGCTAACAAAGTGGTGCTAAGTTTGTAGAAACCAACCAAAGCAAGCACTCAGAAAGTTTAAGATTTAGTACTAAAGCCTTATGCAGCAGTTGGCTGCAGGGGAAATTCGAGGAAAAAACTTGTCTTAAAGGTACCTGAACTCTGCACTTAGTGCAGAAACTAGAGTAGTAGGATTTCCTGTAGTGACGGGGTCAGGAGAGGTTATGTGCCTGTGGACTCAGTCAGGAAGATCTTGAGCAGCACAAACCATTTCTGAGTAGCAAGCCCTGTCCTTTACCATAGGCCAGAGGTATTCTATTCTAGGGAGGCTTTCATAAGCAGATCAGTGGAAGTGAATGCTATATAAAATAGTCCTCTTGATGAAATGGTAAAAGTTTATAAGTCATAAAACCACTGGCAAAAATGAGATGTGCAAGTACTCATTCATTGTTTCTACCCTCTTATAGCTAGTTCCAGTGGGCACAGCATCCCAAAGAAATTCTTCTCATCAGACCCATGCTCTTATTCACCCCCTAACCCTCCATCTAACCAGCTATCTATATTTGCTGTTTCTTTCACAGTTGCTTTTGTTTCTTGCTTCTTTTTTTTGTCACATCTCCCAGTACCTTACCTGAAGCTGACAGGCTGCAGCTAAGGTTTCCTGTACACTGTTCACACTGAGTTCCAGCTCAGAAGTGTAAATGAAGTTCAAGATTTTACACATTGCATTGTAGGAGATGCCATGAATATGAACTTCTTCTTGTTCCATCTCTCTCAGTCCTCCTGCAAACATTCCCCTGTAAAAAAGACAATGGCACATGCTATGGCAGATTTGCATTGAAGCTATTTTCAGATTGCTTATCTTATGTTGTCCTAGGAACATAAAAAATACTCAGAAAGATAAAAACCTACCCAGACACTTTCATGGGACTACCTCTACTCTAAGCCACTGACAGAAAGAGTACAGGCCTTTAGGACCTCAGAAAGTAATACTCTTCATTGTGCAGGAAAACAGCAGGGCCCATCCGAAAGGTATTATTCACAGCTGAAGGACAGTACGTATGGGTGGTCAGTGTCAGGGGCAGATACTCTGGGTGTGCGGGAAAAGGAAAAACAGAGGAACTGTAGGAATTTTTTCTGAGCTAGAGCAATTCTTCCTCCAGTTAGAAGTTTGTTTGGATTGCTTTGGGATTTGTTTGTTTGTTCTATGAAAATAAAGTCAGTTCAAGAAACTGCTAGTCAAACTGACCAGGGGAGTGCCTGATTTAATGGACAGCAAGTGACACTCATAACAGAGCAGTGACCCATTTCCCATGACTTTTTGTGTATTATGAAATTATTACCAGAGTGGGCAAAGTCGTACAGTGCTAAGGATATGTTAAAAGCCACCCAGAGTACATTTATGCAGAAGACACCTGTGAAGATAGTTTCTCCTCTTTATATACCTCCAAGTACCACAGGCAGTGAATTTAGTGGAGGTAAGCTCAGTGTGCTTTATTTCTGTAGAGACATAACAGAGAGATGAATAAAGCTACGCTTAATATTTTGAAACACATACAGCTCCATCTTATGGGTCTAACTTTCCATCCAGAAGCAGTGTGCTAAGACAAGATTTGGATGTTGCAGGTTTGAGTAACATTCAGAGACACGCTTGTTACTGCCGTACTGAAGTGTACCTGAAATAGTCACAGGATGCAGCTAGAAGTATGCGATGAGCCTCAATAGGTTTCTCTTCCACTACCAGAACTACATCGAAGAGGATGCTGCTGTCTCGGAGAGATACCAAGCCACTGAGCAAGGCCTGAGAGTGCTCTGCACTGCGGTATGTGTTGCTGGTGCGCTGCTGAAGGGAGGGCTCGAGTTGAGCTTTGTGTGGCTGAGTCAGCTCCTGATCCTCCGCCATCCCAGGCAGAAATGCTCAGCCACCAGCTGTAGCAGAATGAAATCTATGAGACAACAGAATCAGCAAAGGTTTGTGCCTTTTGCTTTACAAATGGTCCTCTAACCCCCGCCTGTCACAGTAAATAAATCAAACCAACTCTTCAGTCAATGGAGAAACAGTTCTACCCTGAAGAAATTACTCTGAATGATGATACTGGAAAGACAAGAATATATCAGTACACCAACCTGGCAGAACATGGTTTTTCAAAGAATTCTGACTCTTAGGTTTTCAGTCCAAGAGTCAGAGTATGTAGCACGTGGGGATATTTCTTTTTCTTAGCAAGAGTTTCACTTCCCGACCCATTACCAGAGCCCCTTGTTTCCTTTGCATTTCTGCATAATTTATAACAAAGGGCAAAACTGACATAATTTTTGCCAAATTCCAAGTTGCTTAATATCCTCAGATAACTTTCCTGCAATATAAACTGCATTTGCATGCTTTCTCTTGATATTTTTACCCCAGAATGCAAAAGCTCTCCCCTCTCCCTGTCCTTGCTTTTTCATTTTTCTTAGCTGAGCACATTTCCAACTGTCATTCTATAAAATACTATGTGAGACTGTAGGCTCCAAAGTGAGTTTCTTTATTGTGACAACTTCAAGCTAGCATGCACAACTGCATTTCACTTCACTGTGACTCCCTGCAGAGAGAGGGTATTTCCTCCAGTGTAGGCGCTGTAGAGGGCTATTCTGTACCTTTGCTAGGGCTGCTGTTGACAGTGTAGGAAGGTCCCCTATGGCACATGGGGAAACATCTGTAAAAATCTAGCTGGAAGCAATTGTGTTTCATGTCTATGGTTAAGCTCTCAAAATCTCATGAGTCCTCTTCTACCATCCTGTAATTTACCCTTTCCATTGTCTTTGAAGAATGTCAGAAGTTGTAGCAGTTAGAGCTCTTGCTCCATCCAGTTGTCAGAGTGCATTAAAAAAAACACCTCGCATTAGCAAAAGGAAATAACTTAGCTCATGTGGCTGCTGAAGACACAGTTACAACAGCCTCTCCTCCAGTGGCCTGGGAAATAGCTCAGTGGCACAAGCGACAGTCACCAGGGGTTATCAGCAGTCAGAGAAGCAAAAGCAGAACAAACCCAGCAAATCCAAACAAATAATGAAGACATGGAACCGTTGTTTAATTGTGCCAGCCACAGACAGGGAATGTAGCACTGGAAATCCCTCCAAGTGTTGCAAGGTGTTCTGTGGATGGTCTGTGAGGAAGGAGCTATCTGGGTGACACCAAGAAATATAAAAATGTTTATTGTTCTGCCTGAGGGAAGTTCAGAACAAAATGAAGCTAGGTGGCATTGCAAGGTAAACTGGATGGAAAAAAAACTGAAAAAGCATATTAATGGTTGTCTGCTCTTTGCCAGCAAAACCAAGACAACCAGCTCAGAAGAGGAGCTCTGATGAGACAGCCTCCTAGGGAGCACATACAGGTTGATTATACAGGGGAAACTATCCATCATCAGCTGAAGAGATGAGTAACGGATTATTTTTCATGATAGGTAGATGCTTTTCCTAGAAATAAGATTATTGCTTTTGAAGCAGGCAAAATGTTACTGTACCATTTGATTTATCCTGGGGAATACTAAAAGTGATGGTTTGAGGCAAGGGAGATAATACAGTAAGAAAGGCAAGTGAAGGAGTGAGTGCTACTAGATGCTGATCAGAAACTTCTCATTTCACTAAAAGGGGATAAATGCAGCAAAACCAAAGTAGGGTGAGATATGGTCCAAATGAGGAACAGATTCAGATAAATCACTTAAGTCTGTTACCGTGGTTTAATGTGCTTAGAACTCCAGAGTTAATGTGGTTAATGCTCCAGAAAAGGCCGTGTCTTTTCAGCGACTTAGAGAGCTATATCAAAAGAAGTCTCTATGAGAATAAAACCATTGCATCAAAAAGCAGAAGTAAATGTAACAATGAACTGTTTTCTGAACTCAAAGACTTTTGTTGCATAGGGGAAACAGCATGACCTTTGATACAGTCTGACAGCATGTCATAGTGTAGCCACATATAGCGTATTGTAGGAGAGAGAGATACATGTAGGGTAGAGTGGAAAACGTGTATAATCATGCCAAGCCTTTATTTAAATCTACCTTTAATTAATATAATTGTAGACAGTTACTACTCAGAATACATTCTGTATCCAAATAATCTTAAAAAGGAACAGAAAGGGAGTGAAGCTTTCAGCAAGTAAAGCCCCAGAAGGGATCTGATCTTACAAATATGATAACTGGAACCAGGAAGATCAAATGGTATTAAGAAAGATAGCAAATAATAATAATTTAAAAGATAATTCAGAGATTCTAAAGATTAGTATATGCAGAGCTTTCAGTGACAAATGGTGCTGTCTTGGAGATCTGCAGGGGGTTTATCTCACTGCTAGTTCTACTAGATATGGATTTGAATTATCTCACAACTGTTAGCAATAGCTGACCAAACCAGGCCTTCTAGCAGACCTATGGTAAGCCCAGCGTGGTCAAACATAGATGCTGGGAGTGCAGCTGAACCATCCTCCACAGCTGATTTTTGGCCAGTCAGCAGCTGAGCCTACAGGTATTTTGCTACGCTCTGTTTTCTGAATTTGAACAGTCCCTACTTCTTCTCAACTTCTGCCCCTGGATTGTATCTTGGCTGTCACTGGTGAGCTGGACTGTCCTCAGGGTGGTCACTCATGCACATACACCAACACAAGAGCTGCCTGTCAGTATTTGCCATCCACAGTTATTTGCTGCTAACCACTTTTGGGGTTGTCAGTTGAATGCCAATGCTGCTGTGGAAAAAGGGTAGAAAACTACTGAGCTGGTACAGTGTCTGTGGTCTAAAACTTGCCATCACTCTTTTTGTACACGGATACATGAAGCTTTTTAATTACACTGTGGTTACTCAGAGAACCTATATCCTGTTATATGTACCTCTCTGCTCTCCTGATCTGGGCTTCAAGGCTTATAAATAAGTATGCACATCTATTATCATAGTTTTAACCAGTGGTAACTGACTACTCTAGAAAAATTCTCACTGCAATGATTTTCATGAACTGTTCCAAACTTATAAAATCTATGATGTCTGACTGACATAGGTAGTTAAGTCCTCTTTGAGCCAAAAGCCAAGGAAAGCCTCTTAATTCCTACCTAGGTAGTCTTAGGAGCTGGTAGAAAAGACCTTTAAGACAAAGAAGGGTAGAGGACCATTAAAGGGCTTGTGAGGGATGGCCAGCAAGATTAATTTAGCTGATCACTGAGTGTGCTCAGCTGTGTGATAGCTGTACAAGGAGCAGCTGGGGCTGGGTAAGTAGGAAGTTACAAGGAGTGGTTGTTGAAGCAGGGTTAGTGAGGTTGTGTTGGGGGCTTCTTTGAAAGAAAAGTGGCATGGTTTTGGTATTTGAGTTTTCTGGATTAAATGCAATGTGCTTGGTGAGCTGATAGTTTTGTGTATTTCTCTGAGTATTGTTCTAAATGCTGACTACAGATTTGCTGGGGAGGGATACTGGTGACAGTACAGCACCTTGCTTCTCAGATTCTGTGGTCTAACTGTGGCCTGTGTGCTTCATGCCTTTGTTACTATCTAAAAATCTAGTAGCCCAAGCAGAGGAAGTGTGCTATTTTATGTGTGGTGTACTAACTGGGTGGGGGGAATGACTGTTACAGTATCTAGAAATTGTTATGCCTTGTAAGTATCCATCAATCTTAGAAATTACAAGGAAATTTATTGAGTATCTTCTGTATATTTTGAGCTGAAATTAATTTAACCCTATCTCCTCAAACTTGTATTTTGCTTAATCTTTATTGCTCTTTATTAGGAAAAAAAAAAAGAAAAGCTAAATGTAGTACAAGCAGTACAGTTTTGAATGAAGAGACAGAACAGGTTTGTTCAGCCTCCTGCATGCTGCAAAAACCCTTCTATTTATTGCTTTTCCTCCCTGACCACTCAGGAACTTTGCTGGCTTTTAGGGCTTGAGATGCCATTTTCACAGGCTGGTGAATCCCTGTAAATGAGGGAGCTGTGGGCAGGCCCTTGCTGCTAATGTGAATACACAGTCCTTAGATGAATGCAGGTAAGTTCCCTCTATCCCGAGTCTCTCTCCTGACAGCTTCTTGTTTGCAGCATGTTCTTGAGGCCTCTCTGTTCTCTTATTTCTGTTATTGAGAAACTAGCTCTATGACTGAGCCAAGTTCCTAGAAATCAGAGTAATTTATTTTTTTTCCTCTCCTGTTGTGCAAGTTTCTTGGTGCTGGTTAGCTACTAACAGTGAGATTCAGTGACTGAGCAGGGATTCATTGCAGGACTGACCCTCAGGTGGAAGAGCTGGAGAACTCTTTCTGTTCACTGTGCTTCTTTAACAGTAGCAATGATAAAAAGGATTGTCTCATGTCCTGTGGGATGCTGTCTCCAGAAACAAGGGAAGGCAAGCCCTTGTTCCAACCACTTTGAAACTGTAAAGGAAATCATACTAGAGATTTCCTTAGCTGGCTGCATGAGGTATTTCAGACTGCAGTTATGTTGGTTCACACTTCTCTTTTAGAGCACACAGGTTCATGTAGTGATTAATTTTAGGGTATTACAACTGAGTGCCCAGTACATAAAGAGGAAGGAGGTCAGTAATTGATGTGCACTTCTATAGGCAATGCTAACATAGGACGACATGCACTGTTTGGTTACTTCAAATCAAGGAATTAAAAAACCAAACCAATCAAACAAAAATTCCCCATAAATGGCAAAACCCTCAGGGGTAGAAAGACATGACCGCTCTTTTTCAACAGACTGAAATTTTCTATATTACAGAATCACAAAATATTCTGTGCTTGGATTCCATTTAGGAACCAGGAGAAAGCAGATATGCCTTGCAATGGCAGACATGGAGGGAGCATGAAGGAAATCCAGTATTTCCTTCTATTTCCTGCACTATGTTCAAAGTTCACTGTACCACTGGTGGTCTCTTGTAATAAGCTATGGGCACAGTGGAAGCCATGGTGTCTCAGTGGCTTGCTGATAGCTCTGTGTGATTATCT